CGATTTTTTTTAATCAATGTTAAATTATCCAAAAGCACGTTAAAAATAAAAAGAAAGTGCTGAAAAGTGACTAACACTAGATTAACTTCAGTTATAAAACTCCTATTATATGATAATTAACTTCACGTTTCAAATGTCAACCTCAATTTTGACGTATTTGTAATCTTCATTAAAAATCCTTAAAAATGAGTACAAACACGACATATTTATCTTCAATATTAATGAAGTTATGATCAACTTCCGGTTAAGAATGTCAATGTCAATTTTGACATATTTGTAGTCGTCGTGAAATGTCTTAATATTTGTCATAAAAACAAAAATATAATAAAAAAATATTAAAAATTAAGGTTGGTATTAATATTTAAAAATTAATTAAATTGCTATCTTCATTGTTGCTAACTTCGGGTTTAATGCTTTTTATTCTAACTTTTTTGTTTTTTGAGATAAATGCGTCATCTTTGGACTCATTTTAAAGGTTTTTTAATGAAGATGATAAAAATGTCAAAATTGACGTTGACGTTTCAAACCGGAAGTGATTGTATCTCCATTAATATCAAAGCTAAATATGTCGAGTTTGGACTCATTTTAAAGGATTTTTCATGAAGTTGACAAATATGTTAAAATTAATAGTTGAAAGTTCGAAGTTTTTGTTTTTTTGAGAGAAATGCGTCATGTTTGGACTCACTTTAAACGTTATTTTATGAAGATTGCGAATATAATGATAAAATTAAAGTTGACATTGATAACTAAAAGTTTTTTTTTTCACGACTAAACCCGAATATTTCTAGTTCTCGTTCTAGTTTTAGTTCAATAAAAATATACAACACAGTAATATCTTATGCTAACTAGCGCTACCTATCACTGTCGTTTGTAAAATGGATAAGATGAGAGATGTTAATCTATTTGTAGAGTCTCCAGAAGATGGTTAAGGGCCGAAACTAGTTAGACTTAAATTCTATATAAAATAAAAGACATAAACTTTTAATTTTATATTAATATCTAGAAAACGACACTGTTCCGAAATTGTAGGTTCATCTATTTTTTCAATTGTAGAATTTCTTGGTGTATTTAAGTCGGTTCTTAGACGTAAGATGCAAATCGGACTTGATATCGTATAACGTTATTGGCGCTTAGCTTTATCCTTTAACCCTTTGTGTCCCAAGAAAAAATTTTGAAACTTTGTGACAGAATTAAAACGCTTTCAAAATACATTCAGTAAAGGCCTTTGGAATCAATTTTCAGAATAGTTTTCACAACTTCCTCTTTCTTTTGATCTTGTGCTACGACATTTTCGTGGACGCAGTAAATTTGAATATTTTTATTTATTAGACCTATAGCTACAGAAAGACGAAAATGTGATAGACTATTGAGAAAAAACATATTGAGCAAAAACTAACATTTTCTCATAATGTAAGTGTCAAAAAATATGCTATTTCAAAAATTCCTGGAAGCCGTGTTTATTGAAATTAAGAAATGAAACTTATTTTAAATTGAAGCTTAAAGCTTTCTGTTTAAATCGAGGTATAATAATCGTTGGGTTGGATTGGAAAAATATTGAGAAAAAAAATGTTGAAACAAAACTTACATTTTCGTATAACCTAAAANAAACTAAAAGTTATTTTTCAAAACGTGTTGGTTCATTGGAAAGAGGACACTCTTATTAACACTTTGGGAAATTTTTATACTCATATTCCAAGAAATGAATTTTATACGAATTTTTAAAACTTAATCGGTGAAAATTGCAAAATTTGAGAAAATTAACAATCATTTAAGAAATTTATTACTCAAGCCAATATCAGTGTACCAATATTATAAAGTGATTTTCAAGACCTCTCAGCAGCTATCAGTGTCTATTTGCCACCTTGGAGCACGACCATCTTGAACATATTTTAGATCGAAACACTTTGACTTTTTATTATTCTAATAGCACATTACTTTTGAATCATCCCTTATATTTACGAACACCATTCAGAAATAATAAACATTGAAATGTTAAAAATTATAAATAAAAAATGCATTTGTTATCACATTTAAATAATAATTTAAATATAGCCGTAATACATTTATTAAGCTTCCATATTTAGTAAAGCAGCAAGAAAAATCGTATTACTTTAAATAATTAAACCCCTTTGCTTACAAGATATTGTTTAATAAAGCGTGGAAGTAATAATTTTAGTATTGCATTTGAGCTTTTTTTGATTTATCAAAAAAAGCTGTTTAGCTTACTTACAAGTACGAAGGGTGCTCAAATAAACGGCCCCCGACGATGATTTGATCGAAACGTTGTACGCGGTGCACGCCTCGAGATTTTTGAACAGTAGTCTCGGTCTTGAAACGTGCCGAAAATACGGTAATTCTTTCGGGTGGTAAATCGCCCTTTTAATATTTACGTCGTACTTAAAACGACATCTCGCCGCATTTAATTGTCCCCAACCCAACTCGATCGAGTGAGATGTTATCATTGGTGGTGATATCGTTAAACCTTTAGAGAAAAATCTCTATTTTTAGGAACATTAATCATTTTTGATGAATTATTGTTAATCTCGTTGTGTAAATCGAGGTAATCAATAAAAATGGAATCAATTGAATGCATCAGCAATCAACAAATTACTTTTTTATTAATAATGATAACGAATATTTTTGTATTTTTTTACAAAAATACATTTGTACAAGCGCACGTATTAACCTTGGCGTGGAAGAGTAAGTTTAAATATAGAATCTTGATTATTGACATAAAATTTGAGGTTGGCACAATATTGACTCAACTTGTATAACTACTTTTAACGTTTTATGCTTCAAAATTAGTTGTAATCTACCAGAAGCTACATCAGACTTTCTGGTTTCTCCTACATCCAGAAGCTTAATTTTGCTCGAATTGCAATTGAAATCCAATAACTCCAATGCCACTATTATGACCAGTATTACGTTACTTCCACGAATTTTCCAGACTTGTTAAAAGCGATTTGTTATATATTTTGTAGTTCGACGCTCATAGCTTTGTCGTCGAAGATATGAAGAATGGAAGAGTACCAGGTATTGCCAGGTACCGAGACATTTCCTGCAGAATGGCTTGAAGGCATCATTGTCAAAACAGCGAAAAAGGACTGCAGCAACTGGAGAAAAATAAACTTGCTAAGAGTTCCCAGTAAGATTTTCAACAGGGTGATGCATCCAATGGACAATCCATTAAAATCAATAAGTTAAGGTGGCTCGGCCATCTAGAAAGGAGGGATGACAAGGAACTTCCAAAGCAAATGTTCTGCCAAACAGTTTTTGGAAACCGCAAAAGAAGCAGATATAAGGACCAGGTAAAAGTCTAAAAATGCTGGGAGTTAGAAGCTGGAAGGCCAAGACACAAGATGGAAGAGAGTGGAGCTGATCTGAGAACAGGCCAAGACCCACTGGGGGTTGTGGTGCCAATGATGATGAATCAATTGGACCGCGTTATGTATCACTTGACTAAGCGACAAATGAA